GAGGTGGTGCAGGCTCCCACCCTGGGGGTTTTTAAGAGGAGGTTGGATGACCACCTTACTGGGGTCATTTGACCCCAGTACTCTTTCCTGCTGTGGCAGGGGGTCGGACTAGATGATCTGCTCAGGTCCCTTCCGACCCTAGAAACTATGAAACTATCTCTGTGCTACATGGCAATCATTTTTGTGACATACTGTGAGAAGCTAAGGAAATTAAAAATCCAATGTATTAAATACAAACTGTGAATATAAAATAATGCTCAAATGTCTCTGGCCACCTGGCTTAGGCTGAGATTGGACATTCAACTGAAGTTGTACACATGTACACACAGCTATTTATGCTGTGATTGTACAGATTTTTCTTTAAAAGCCATTTATGCTCCTTTAAAAAGGATACCATTCTTTGCCAGTTATTTCCAAGTAGAATTAAACCATTTCAATTGTGGATAAACTGTAATCTTAATCCTGAAAAATAATGCATTTAAAATAAAATATTTTACAAGACAAGCTCAAATTTAGTGTCTGCATCACTTTTTATATGTGAACAAAGACTGTAGATAGATGTATCCTGGCCCTGTTGAAGTCAATGGCAAATTTTCAATTTACTTGAGCTGAGCCAGATTTTCATCCTCTACCTTTTTGCACATTAGGTCTTTTTAATATCTTACAATACTTAAAATATCTGTCTTTTCTTACCAGGCTCCCCCAAAGTCGTAGCTCCAGGCTAAATTCCACTTATGCTGAGATGTTGAGCACTGAACTCCTGACATCATCAAATGGGATTCATCTGTGTCAGAAAGGTAGGTAAGTAGATCACCAAGATATTTTTTTGTGTGTAAGCTTAGTGCTCATAGAAGGTGCTAAATCGAAAAAAAAAAAAAAAGGTTATTCATACATGTCTTTGTTGGCACTGAAAATAAGCAAGTCCTTTCCAGATGTTCACCCTCCAAGGGATTTAGAATCTAAGCAAAACATACAATAGAGAAAGAGGTTTTAACAAAGGAGGAACAATACACGAGAAATTTTTATACAAGTCAAAGACCAGTGCCCTATTTTTTGAAAGAACAGAGACAGTATTGAAGGTAACGGTGAAATCTATCTGTATATGGCATTTCCCACAATAATACATATGTCTCTCACGTAAGTAAAAAGACAATACATATATATATATAATATGCTCTGCTTTCATTCATAAAGAAGATCTATTGAATATCTAGTTGAGTGATGTTTTTAAAATGATCATGACACAAAAAGGTAACGGTGAAATCTATCTGTATGTGGCATTTCCCGCAATAATACATGAGTGTCTCTCAAGTAAGTAAAAAGGAAATATATGTATAATATGCTCTGTTTTCATCAAAAAAGAAGATCTCTCGAATATCTAGTTGAGTGATATTTTTAAATGATCATGACATGATTAAAAACTCATTAGGAACAACTGAGGAAAAAATTAGAATAAGGCAATGGATTTTGTTTGTTCTTTAATAGAAGGCATGCAATTTTTCTTATCCCTTCAGTGGGCACAGGGCTCATTAAAGTTCTGTCTGTCATGTTCATTAGCCTCTCCCTATTGGTGACCTTTAAATGTTTCAGGCCATGGGCATTTGTAGTGAGATAAATCCTGTTTTTGGCCTCCAAAAAGTGAACATACAACTGCTCAAGTGATTTGTTGCCAGAACACTATGGCAATTCCATGACAAAATGTTAGCTATTTCCAACATCAATTTAGCAGCAACACAACTATTCCTAGTGCTACATGTGCCATTGTACTTAGCTCCTTAGGCTGTGGCTTGGTCCTCCATTATTACAAGAGACTTTGCTCCTCATCTCTCTTTACCCCTCACCCCCACACCCCATGGCTCCAGGAAATCTGTCTGACACTCTGAACTCTATTTCCCCAGGGAGATGGAGCCTGGCTCACATCACCACATGGACTTGCTGCTCATTCCTGTCTTTCTTCATGATGGATACAATCCTTCCTGTCCAAACCACATGTCAGAAATCCACCTCCCAAACCCTCCTGCCATGCAAAAAATTACCTGTTCCTGTTGTGTTAGCATTTCTGGCTTTATCTACAAGGGAGGGTACAGAGCTGGAACTTGTGGATGGCTGAGCTCCTGGCCAAGTGCTTCAGATTCATATCTTGGCTTTATAGCTGGTAAATGTCATGACCGAGGCAAAAGGGAGACTGTTCTGTCTCTCTCTTGAAGTGGAGGGAACATCAAAACCTTACAGGCAGGTGGAAGCCAAGGGACAGGAAGTATGTGTGTGCTTTGTGTGGTGACATGCAGCTGTAATTTGCAAAGGCCATGGTTGCACTGAAGGGGAGACTCTTCAGTCATCCCCCGCTAAAGCAGACAGTGTGTCAGAGCCCTCCCCCTGCTGCCAACCTCCCACATGTTGATGAGGCAGGTGAATCACTGTACCATCACCCACTGGATAGCCAAGGATACCTCCCACACTATCTGTGGACTTGTCTATGCCAAACTGATTGGCAGACCAGAGACCACCGCAGCCTCAGTAATGGCTGTACATGGTGCAGCACACCAGACCACACAGGAGCTGTACAAGTTCTCCAGAGAAGTGGTGGCAGCCTTGACTCTGTACTAATGGGAGTATGGTATTCACAGGACCTGCTGGCACCACTGAATCAAGAACTGCAGGGCACTCGGGATGCACTGCAGCCCAGAAGTGAACTTGATTAACCTTTATCAGTTCAACTGAACTGTGCACTCACAGTGCAGGGGGGTGTGGAATCTGTCATGGGTATGGATTTCTGAGTGGCCAGCCAATCAGCACTTTCCTCTGCGCTCAGCCTCCCTCAGGAACCTCTGAACATGGCAGCACCCAAAGCATGCTGGGATCACTACATGCCAGACCCCTGACTGTAAAGCACCAGTAGTACATGTTGTTGCCATGCTCCAGCACTCTGGACAACCAGACGCTTGAATAGCTGTATGTGCATTTCATGCTACCTTTTCGTGGCACTGCAAATTTTCTGGAACTACTTAGCACTTCAGATTAACACCTGTCTATACCCTCAATTCACTGTGGCTCATACACTGCCTTAGTAATGGAAGGAAAGATAATCTCTCAGTTAGCTTGGGTCAGTCTCATGAAGGACTGTGAATATTAGGAGACAGATTTGACACACCTTGTAATAAACAGAACTAACACATTGAGTGAAGTATCCCCTTGTATGCAGAGATAAAACGGTATTTATTATGACTACCGAGTTTTGTATTAGCAGACGCTTTCCCGGGTGTGTGGCTTCACTCCTAGACATGAATTGCCGTAATCAAGCCTGGAGGTTGCAAATGTATGTATGCCTTTGCTAAAAGGTATGTCTGATAGCAAAGGGCAATCTGCCAGCCAGTGGTAGATGATCTTAAAATAACCCATAGGCTGCATAATGAGACAGCTCAGTATGAAAGACACAGTGTTATGTTTACTGACCTTGTAAGGATCATACCCGACCATTTAACCTTTTCTGGTGCACAGATGTAATACTCTGTGAAAAATATAGGGATACTCATTGGTAACATTAAGCAAAACACAATAGAGGTAGAGGTTTTGAGGGAAGAGGAACAGCACACAAAAAATGTTCATATATGTTAATATTTTATAATAAAATATTGTACCTAGACCAGTTATGTGCATGGTGCGTCTATTCCATACGTTGAATTGAATATTTCAAGGTCTGTCTTTATAGAAAAGCGTATCTGTTTAGAGAAAAAGAGGACAGGTCTTTTTAATTGTAGCCTAGTAAGATATACTAAAAGGAAAGAAACAGGTCAAACTTCCTTAATGACTCAACCTACTCTTGTGTGGGAGCACAAAGCATTTAGAGGAGACCCACAGGCATAGGAGGATCTGGGCTGGCTAGGATACTTTATGATGGTTCAGTTATAGTTCTGTGAATTAAAAGAAAAGTCTGTCAACATAACTTGTTCTGATGCATAAGATTTGATGAGACTAAATGTTAAAAAAATCTTATTTCTTTAAAGCCTTGTTCCAACTGCTAATTTAAAGAATTATTTGGCTAACAGCCTTCTTGAGCAGTATACTAGATTTAAGGTTCCTAGAGAGAGAAGAAGCAGGTGCCTGAAATCCAATCACACCTGCAGGCTGATAAGTGGTATTCATGGTAGTACATCTATATTCTGGTCTAAGAATGGAAGATTCATGAGATTCCATCCTAAAATCAGCATGGACAGGAGGCTGAACATTGCACTTAGAGAAACCAGAGCAGGGTGTAGAGGTGCAGTTCTATAACTGAAACATGAGCATCATTTTTTATTTTCCATATATTCATGTGCATTTAATTTTAATTGTTTGTTTCTTACAGTATGGATCTTTTATTATTTCATACCTGGAATTTAAAGCAGGTACAAACTGTACTTTACATATGTCTTCCTCTGGGACATCACTAACTCCTTAAAAGTGTGGTTATAAAATGATTTATTAAACATCACAATCTATCAAGACACGTGAATATTATTAACATCTTTTGTAACATCTGAAGAGTAAATGTATCGTGACAATATGGGAATCATCTGTTGCAGTGGAACAAATGAGGGCTTAATTAATGCAAATATGAAAAGTTAACTGTGAAGCTTATAAGACAAATAGTTCTATTTACAAAAGGAAAAATATGAATAAAGACTTTGCTTGACAATGAATGCATGGCAGGGAGAGAAATATTAAAAAAAACTTACTGAAAGACAAAAAATAGTACAGAACACATGAAGTTGCATTAACTGATACAAAATAATTAAATTTACTCTATTTCAAAATGTATACAAAAAATATTAAAAAAAAATTATCCCATTATTTCAATATAATAATGGTTTAAAAAGTGGCAAAAGCAGACCATGTGACGATACCACTTATAAAGTTCTGTTGAGAGTATCTAAACAAGAGGAACCTACTAAGCAGTAGGGGTATACAAAGCTTCGATCCCTGATTCAATTCAGCAGATATTCGGCCTGATTCGGTAGCCGAAACCGAATCAGAGGACCCTTTAATCTCTCCGTATCAAATCAGAACCCTCTGAATTGATTTAGAAAGATTTGGAGAGTCAGACATAGAGACAGCTTTAAATATTTTTTCTACATACTTCTAGGTAGCAGGGGTTCGTGAGTGCTGCAATGCTGGGGTGCATGGGGAGTCCCACAGAAGCGGGGGGGCTCCACAGTGTGCTCAGCAGCAGACCCCAAAGTGAATCAGAAGCACTTTCGGTTGACTTCCAGGTCCACCAGGGAGCACAGCGGGCGGCCTCCTTGCACCCCCATGTCTTGGCGACTGATGCCTCCTGGGTCTGTGGGGGGCACCCAGGGTTCCCCTATGGCTGATCACTGAGCCAGGGAGGTTGCCATTGCACTCCCTGGGAGACCTGGAAGTGGAGCAGAAGTACTTCCAATCCACTTCTGGGCTAGCCACCGAACACATGAAGGGCTCCCCTGCACTCCTGTGGGACACTCCATGCGCCCCAGCATCGCAGCAATAATGAGCTGCGCCTGCTACCTTAAGGTATGTAGAAAAAACTTTTAAAGCAGTGACTATGTCTGAATCGCTGATTCTCTGAATCAGCATTGAACCTTCAGATTCGGATTCAGCTATATCGAATTGGGGACAGTGATCCCCACTAATTGAATCACTGTCCCTAACTCGGGTCGAATCCGAATCCAAATCAAATAGGGCCCATTTCGCACACCCCTACTAAGCAGTATATTGTAGACTGAAACAGCCAGAGATGTTAAAAGCCATCATAATTAAAATGGATTGGTAAGAGTTTTAATTCTAACTGGTGCTTTTGTGTTTTTGTAAATGCAGTCTGAAACTAATAAGTTTTTTGTTTCCTATGCAAATACTTTCCTTGCCTTAAACCAAAATACTACAGAGAAAACACTGTTTGTTAAACCTCAGTTAAACAGTAATTGGCTTCATTGGCAATTTGCTAATGGGAGGATTTTTTGGATTTCATAGCCATGTATGCTACTTCTGATTCCACAGAAGAACTTTTAAACTTTTCATACTTTTTGCAGACTGTAGATGATTATATACCCCATTTTTGGATGTAGTCATTTCTGACACTAGTGTAACCTGGATCCGCACTAGAGAACTGTTGATTTTTGCATTCTGTTGGTAAAGTTTTCATAAGTCCACATTCAAACTGTTTTGAGCAAAAATCTGGGTTTTTATCAGTTGTCTAATACCATAGTCCCAAGCAATATAAGCCCTTAGCCACAAGTGTAGACACACCAGTGTCAGCTGTAACACTTATCTAGCGGCAATCGTATAATACATCATGCTGACTGCCCTGGCCCTAATGTTGAACTCCATAAGCTAAGTTCAACCTGACTAGTTCTTCTTCCCCTCATTTAAAATATCCCTGGCTTTGGAAAAACGTTTTTCTGCCAAACCATTGGGCAGACAGGCTTAGCTTGCCACAAAGAGAAGCATGTAGTGACATCCCATATCTTCCTGGACAAAGGACAAGATGTTGGATCACCTCAGTCTGTGGGGAGAAGAAGTGCAAACCCAGCTCCATGGGAAGTATAAAAACAGAGACATTTATGAGGGTGAAGCAGGCTTTACATATAACAGCTTTCAGGCGATGTGCTCCTGGCCATTTTGTACATTCCTCAGGACTTTGTATATCCTAAGTTTATAGGTTGTTTTGATTTGGTTAGCTGGATGCAGGTTTGCTTGTTCTGTGTGTTTACTCTAAAGTTAAGCACCATTGGTTATTAACTCAAATAAAATTGTCCTTATTTCATATAAAATTCACTTGAGAACATTAAAACAAAACAAACCCTGATGGTTGCATCCATGCACAGGGACATGATCCCCATTCTGTGCAAAGGCTGTGCTGTCTTTAGTAGCAAATATTGTCATAATTCACAACATAGCGCTGAAGTAGTCTCTTAAGGCCACCCTCAGCCAAATGATGTCTCATGGGCTCTAATTATTGCACTTATTTCTGGCAGCTCAGAAGCAGCAGGCAGTCTCTCCATCTCCACCTGCCACACTGCTGGCAAGGCTTCCCCTTCAGCTTTGCAAATACAAAGCACATGGCAGGCAGAAAAACAAGGGAGATGTTTGGTTGAGCCTTGTCACGAGAGATCTCCAGCATCTTTTCTGATGTCCAAAAAGTCACTTAACTGCACCTGCTCAGTCAATAGTATAACCTCTTCTTGCTGCTGTCCAGATTGCCAAGGAATCGTCTTATGAGCTGGGAAACCGTAAATTAGGCAAGATTAGGACAAGTCAACCCCCCCACCCTCCAGAATGAGTAGGGCATTTAAATACCTCCATCATAGATGGGACAGTCAGGAAAGAATGTTCCTGAGTGCAGCATTTAGAACAGGCCCGTGTATGCCCACCCCAACAAGCCAACATTAATGACTATACTGTTCCTTGTGCAGTACCAGTGCCTGCATCACCATGGAGAAGTATCCCTTTCTATTGGGCTAGGGACAAACAGTCAAAAAGCCAGAGCCTGAATTGATTCAATTTTTGCAGGTTAGTGTAACCTGCAGATCTTGAACTGATTTGCAAGTGGATAGACATTCACTTTTGAATCAAGAAATGCAGGCACATGCCTGCAGTGGCTCAGGCTAGAAGCTGGGGATGCTAGAGTGAGGCCTCAATTCCCTTCAGCATTGCTGAGCTGAGGGGGGTGTGCCCAGGCCAGGCAAGGTGCTCTGAT